CATTCATTCATTCATTCATTCATTCATTCATTCATTCATTCATTCATTCATCTTGCTCTCAACAGAGCTATGTTTAGTACTTGCTGTGCTAAGTGCTGTTTGGAGCACCAAGACAGGAGGGTGCAGGGACCTCATTCTCAGTTTCCTTTGGGGAGTCCTATCCATGCACCACAAACTGCTTCTTAGATTTTATGTGACACGTGGCTGAGTCCAGATTCCTCTACAGTCCGTTCTCCCCACCCATGCTACCTTGTTGCTGGCATGGTCAGGCCTAGGATGGCTGCTTCTGTTCCAAACATGGAAGCCATCAGTACACTCTGCACTATACAGAGACCAACTCTTAACGGCATTTACATTGTGTTAGGTGTTGCAAGCAATCTATAGGTGATCTAAAGAATACAGTATATGCAATTACAACAAATTCTATGAGACCCAACCTCTGCTCCCACTTCTGCATGCCCAGCCCTGCCACCACCACAGGGAAGTACTGTATTTTCCACCTTTCTCAGCCTGTGCTTGTCCAAGGCCCTAAAACGGAGCACACATTTGTACAAAGATCTTGACTGTGTTACCTTTCTCTTAAGTCTGCAACTGCCTTCTTTAGGCCTTCTTTTTTGTTGTTGTTTTCATTTGTATGTATGTGGCCTTGGACCCTTCAGAGCAATTAACACTAGACATCTTGCTTTGGTTTTGTTTGTTTCAAGATTTTATGTGTGTGAGTACTTGCTTGCATGTATGTATATGCACCATTTGTGTGCCTGATGACCCAGAAGCAGAAGAAGGTGCCAGAGCCTCTGGAACTGGGGTAATAGACAGTTGAGAATCACCATATAGGTTCTGGGAACTGAACCCAGGTCCTCTGCAAAGAGCAGCAAGTGCTACTCTTAACCACTTGAGCCAACTCTCGGGCTCCTTGGAGTTTTTATTTAATCTTGGTTTTATTTATCACAGTGTGTCACTCAACATCCTTTAGTAGGCCTTATCCAGGGCTTGCACTCATAGCTTCCTCTCCAAGACACATGATGCAAATCAACCATTCCGTTGTAATTCAAGTGCTTTAAAGAGGGTATAATGTATGCTCTGAGCTAGATGCCTGAATCCATATTTTGTCACTGTGTTCCCGTTGTCTTGGTGCTATGTCTGAGGTTTCCATTCTGGAGTCATCTTCTCATAAATGAGAGAATCGTACCAATTCTGATTTCCAATAGCTGTTTTGAGACCCCCTAGTCAATGCTCTGAGTATTTAACAAAGTGCTGTGGCCTACAGTCAGCAATTATATGGGACACACTGTGAATGTCCTTGGGTAAAAGATCCTCCAAGTGTGCCTACAGCTTCATAGAGGAGGCAGCATTTGAGTGGAGACTTCAAGGCAAAGAATTTGCCAGAGAGCAGAGCAAGCTAGTCAAAACCACCATGGAGAGTTCTCTCAAACATGGAGTTCAGATTTAAATTATATATGTATGTGTGTGTGTTTACATATAAGGGGCTGTGATACAAGGAAGACCCTGTGGAAGAAAGAGTAACATAACATGACATAAAAGTAAAAGGAAGAAAACCCATCAAGGAGACACAAAGAAGGCCAATGGGAGAAGAACAAATGAAAACACGCCTGCATGAAGATGCATATTGAAACCCATTACTCTGAATGCTAACCTAAAAATTAGTCAAGAACAAAAAGCAGTTGCCCAAGGTAACTCAGCACTATAAAAAAGTACAGGGTCACAACAAAGCACAAATTAATGAAGAGTTTGCCGTGGACACATGGACAAGAAGACTATCTATTATAAAAATGGCTATCCTCAATCTATAAATTAAATTCCACCTTCTAGGAGTTCTACTCCAGTAAGACTGTGTGTGTATATACACGACAGAGTTAAACTGTAAGTATCATTTTTTAGGAACCATCAAACTTGTTTTTCAGACAAGGTTTATTTCTGGCTAGGAACTTTGCTACTAGGCTAGGCTGGCTAGTCTGAAAGCTCCAGGGCTATGCCTGTCTTCATCTCTACCACACCTAGCTTTTACATAGGTGCTGTGGACCAAACTCAGGTCCTTATGCTTGCGCAATGATCACTTTACTGAGCTATATCCCCAGCATCCCATACCTGACTCTGCAAAGGACTTTTTAGAATATTCAAGCAAAATAGTAGTCAAGAATGAAGATAATTTTAGAAAAGTGGATTTTATAGAAATCTATCTGAATCACTTGATTCAATTTTAATCTTAAAACTATTAAAAATCTGTACAAGAGCTTTAGAATGATGTGTTTCATCAGTAGCAGATAGAAATTGACAGATTTCTATCAGATTTCAAGAATAGCAAAATATAATAACTTGTAGAATTATTAACTATTAGACTAATAGACAATAGAAAACAAGAGTATAAATAAAATGAACTTTCGTGGGAATGATAACAGGAGAGTACAGAGATAGCCTATGCCTCCATTCAGCTGCTTGATTTAGTAGGTTTTTAGCAATACATTCTTCCTTTACAAAATGTCCTAAACGCACATAGGAAAACTTGACCATGATTCCTAATAAGATAACTTCGGAGGTTTTTTTCTTCATGAGTCCTAAGTATTTCCAGAAGTGATCAGGGACTTCATCAATTAATGTCTCTCCATTTCCCAAAGGGATGCTCCATCCTGTCCTGTTTCACAAATAAATCTGGCTGTTCTTTATGTTGCAGCCTAACAAAAGCAGAAATAAAATGGCTTTTCATGACAATTTATAAAATGCATAAATTACATTGCATCTCTGTTGAGATTTGATCTGATGCTGTATTTTCATGTTGATTATTGGTTACTGCCTGGATACACCTATCCTTGTTGTGTAAACCTGCCTAAGACATTATATCTAATCGGTTGATTAAAAGCCTAAAACCTGGACAGGACAGAATGAGGCATGGTTAAAGTTCCCGAGTTTGGGGAAGAGGATGGGAAGAGAGGAGGAAGGAGGATGCCATGATGGGTTAGTGTGGAGAAGGAACCATGTGGGCCAGGAGGAAAGACTCCAAGGATGGCATGGATGGAAAAAACACCAAGTACAAACAAGTATTCATAAGATTATGGATAGAAAGTAGCCCAGATTAGGATAATTAAGGCAGATGACATTGGATGGAGCTTGGGAGGTAGACGGTGAGGTTATTGAGATGGCGTAGGTAGAAATATCTGCCCAGCTCAAGGTAAATCGACAATTATAAAATATAACAGGTGTCTGTGTCATATTATTTGTGCAGGTTAAATAATACCACCACAATAATTATAGGGCTAATAATATTAGCCCTATAGCCAACACCCCCCCCTTTTTTTTTTTAACAATAACACATCTATATAATCTTGATGGCAGTAATATGATCACTTCAGTAACATTGCCTCAGGGGGAGTTCTGTAGTTTCTTAATGTCTTTTTTTTTAAGATGTATTTATTATGTATACAGTGTTCTGTCTGCATGTACACCTGCTCCTCAGAAGAGGGAACCAGATCTCATCTTAGGTGGTTGTGAGCCACCATGTGGTTGCTGGGATTTGAACTCAGGACCTTTGGAAGAGTAGCCAGTGCTCTTAACCTCTGAGCCATCTCTCCACACTTCTTAATGTCATTTAAATATTTTATATTTATTTTAAATCATATGTACATATATGCTGGCCTGTGTGGGTGTGTGGAGATGAGTGCAGCACCAGAGGAAGCCAGAAGACCTGGAACTGGACAAGTGGTTGTGAGGCACCAAAAGTGGATGGGAGCTGAACTCGGGCTCTCTGAAGAGTAGCAAGCATTCTTAACTGCTGAGCTATCTCTCTAGCCCCTCACTCTCAACTTAAAAAATGTAGTCCTCAAAATATGATTCAAAATTAAGATGAATTTATTGAACTCACAAATAAATTATTAACTGAAAATAATGTTCATGATGCATTGTTTAGGGATATTTAGTTAATGATTATACAGTGTGATAATTATCACCTCACCTGAATTATTTTAATCTTAAAACTAAGATATCAAAAATCTACTGTTAGCACAAGAGCTTTAGAATGAAGTGGTCCATCTGTTTGGCTTCAGCTTCAATGTGTAGTTTTTACTCTATGGTCAAAATAAAATCAACATTAAGTTTTTGAAAATGTACTGGTC